ACACTGTCCCACCCCCCAACCCCACTTCACGCATTTCCATTTCTTCGTCTCCTCCCCCTCGCTTTCTCTCTCCTAGGGTTAGGGTTTTTGCGGAGCTTTGTGTGTGCCTTTTTAACTCTCTGATCCATCAATGGCGCAACCGGAGGTTCAGAATGGTGGAGCTGAGAAGGCAGCAACTGTGGTGTCGTTCTCCGCTGTGAAGCCGCAGATACTGGTGGAGGCGCCGAAGGCAAACGACGCTGTTCAGTTCTATAAGGCTGCATTTGGTGCCGAGGAGGTTGGCCGTACAACTCATCCGAAACGCAAGGCTGAGCAAGAGCTCCCTCTCATCCTCTCTGCTGAGCTGAAGCTCGCCGGCGTCACCATCCTCGTCTCTGACCTCTTGGCGACGATTCTGCTGCTCCGTAAGTCTATACCTCTCGCTTTCTGTGTTGTTTCTTCACTTTCTCGTCTGGATCATATCTGCTTACTTTTTCTTTCCTCGCGTCTCTGATTTTCGTTTCTTGTGCTGCTCTGCGTTGAGATCTTTTGTGCTCTATATATGAGTGTTTGTTTCTGTAGGATCGCTCACCGAACCGAACAATACGCTTGTAAAAGACATTTCGTGTTGTTTCTGCTTTTGTCTTAAATTTCGTACCCTAAAAACCGGTATCCTGGCGCAACTAATTAATAAAGCGTAGCTGATAATTCTTTTGTCCTTTGCTTTGCTATTTCCTTTCTCTTCTGTGTTTTATACCTTTTATTAGCCATTCTATCGTTCTCATCGTTTCATATTTCGTATATCTTGCTTTTCGATTCACTTTGAAACCTTTTGTCGTACTCAAATGATTTTTTTGGCTGTATCTTACCCTTTATGTAGTTTTGTTCTGAATAATGGTCGTGATTTTCGTTACATGTTCGCCGAATGGTGATTTAATTGTAGAATTTGTGTTGTTTATGTTTCGATCTGCTCGATCTCACGCTTTAATCCTTGTATCCTGGAAAACTTACTGCACACACAGTTCATATTGTCGTTTTATTATCAAATCTCGTGATATCAGTTTCGCTATACCTACTAGATAAGACTTTCGTGGTCTATTGACTTGACTTTTTAGGCGATTCTGTTCAATGTTTTGTAGTGATTTTGTTTTCTTTCGCTATATTTTTCTTCGTTTATGATTGGAAGCGTGCCACTCTCAGTGAAATGAAACTGATTTTGTCTTGTTTTTCATATGTTTTTTAAATTGTTTTGATTAAATATTTCCAGGGCGAAGAGTGTTGGCAACGGTGTCGTTTTGTGCCTGGAGACGGAGGAGGTAGAAGCTGCCATTAACAAGGCGGTTGGCGCCGGAGCTGTTGCGGAAGGCGAGATCGTGTCTGGGGAGGGCGCGTGCTGCGGGGAGAGCGTGGGCAAGGTGAAGGACCCGTTTGGCTTCGTGTGGGCCATCTGCTCGCCAGGAAAGAAGTGCGCTAACACAGAAGCTGAAGCCTGAGATGAGAAAATAGCAGTTGGACGCTCTGATTTTAACTGTTTCTGATCTGAGTCCGCTTCTAGCCGTTAGGATTAGCCGTTAGACCCTTCTCTGGGCGTAGTATTAATATTTTGAATAGCCTATGGACCATTGAACTTCATGAATTATGGACTTTTTGAATACTCTTAACTGACACCTGGCAGTTAATGAAGTAGACTTAAATTTTCTCGTTCTGATGGGTAAACTAGTTTTATTAATATATCATATCCTTTGTTTCTGCTTCTGTTTTTCTGGGCCTGATGACCAACACGTTGCCATTTTGCAAGGGTATTGTCGTCATTTCATGTTGTTGGCATGGATGAGAATTAGAAGTTAGAACATGGAACATGGAAGCATGTTGGGTATTATATTGTATGATTAAGATATGCGTGCGCTTTTAATTGTTACATTATTATTATTATTATTATTATATGGGGCGGAGATGTCGTCGAGAGGGATGCTATGGGTGTGTAGGGTCCACTGAGCATTTGACTGGGGTTAGGGAAGTGTCCTATTAGAATTTGACACGTGGTCATGGCGGGATATTTGAGGAACAAATGGAAGGGATGGTGATGGTCCCCTCCGGGAGGGGGGGATATGGTGGGGTGTGGCATATTTGTGGAGAGGGGAACGGAATCCTCGTGATGGTTTGTTTTGAGCATGAGCCATTGAAATGAATGAATGAATGCTCGTGATGGTTTGTGCGGTGTTAGTATTGTTTAAGGCATGGCAATTTAGAAATGCTGGAAATGTCAGATGCGTCGGGATATGAAAGACAAATCAAAGCGCACCCTATTATTATTATTTTAGCTTATCTCCTGTGTCACGTGTTGTCATTTGATTGTATATCATCTCCAATTAGGTAGTATGATTATTTCAGTTGCCGTACACAACCCAAAATCAAAGTTGTTAAGCTTTTATTTTTTATTTTCCTGTTTTCAACGAAGTAGTGAATTATGATAAATGATTTTGGCTCTGTCATCATATTGCAAGTGTAGACCAAAAATTAATCTCTACGACATTATGAATGACTTGTTGACTACTTCCCCACTCCATTCCATGAATTATTTTGGGTTTGGGTCTGGCTCAGCCTGCCGTGAGGCCAACATTTCAGATAATTCAAATTCAATACAAAATATAGTTTTGGTCCTGAAAATGCCGATGGAATGAGTTTTTTTTTTTTTTATATAGGAAAGGCAAGATGAAGATAAAGAACTAACAGGAACGAAAAACTACTCTAAGTCATCCCTAAAGCGAGAAAGGTAGTCGGCCGGTGGATGCCACAACATAATCATTCCTTCTGTAAGCCTGTGCGCCTCCTTAGCCAGTTGGTCCGCACACTGAATGTTATCCCGAGGTGTGTAGTTGATCTTGAGGTCCCAATCAGAGTACATCAGATTTCGTATTTGCATTATGTGTGATCGTAAAGGATGTTGAAAACCTTCATCTACCATAAGCATATTTCCAGTCCTTGTTGTTTGTAAATTTCCAGTATACGCCATCACTTTGCTGTAACCTTGTTGTTTGCAAATTTCCAGTCCTGTTTGTAACGCCAATAGTTCTGCTGCCGTAGAGGGTAGGAAACCCAATTTCTTTTTAAACCCGACGAGCCATTGTCCTGCTGAGTTCCTAACTATGCCTCCACATGCCGCGAATTTTAACGTATTGACAGATCCGTCTGTATCCAATCTAACAAACCCCTCAGGCGGAGGGGTCCACTTGGCTTCCCAGTCTGTGCATGTGCCAAATAGCTGATGCTTCAGTTCTCCTTGTTCTGTAGACTCCATGAGCAGATGTAGTCCCGCATGTATAAGTTCTTCCGCATGGCTTCGCTTTCCCTCCATAACTCCTCTGCATCTGTTCTTCCATAGTAGCCAGCAAGTCAAGGCGAAGACTTTTAGCCAATGCCATCGTTTTTTCTCAGTTTTTTTCTTACAATGCCCTCTCAATTCTTCCAACAGAAAATTTAAGTGAGTTGGGATTTTAGCAAAAGTTTTGACATTATTAGCAGAACTTGAACTTGTCATCTTACCATGAATGAAGGGGGCCGAATTCCCTTCTTGGACCATCTTTTTGTCAGCTAAATCCAATAATTTTTAGGACCGACGATGTTAAAATTCGCGTCCAACAATCATGACTTTCTTCCGTTTCTCGTCTCTTTCTTGGTGGCATTGTCTGATTTTTTTTAGAATTAATATTATTTTTTATCTCTTAAATTTGTTTTTATTTTGGTTTTGCTTCAAGTTTTAAGTCATAGGTTTTAATTCTTTATGGAGTAAATTGGTCCAGGTTTTTATTAAATTATAGGGAAAAAAAACTTAAAAGACTAAAATTTATGGGTTAAAACTTTATGGACCAAAATTAAAATGAGAATAAACTTGGTACACTAAAAATTGTATTAAACCCTGTTAATATTTAAAATTTTTTTATTTATGAAAATAAATAAATCATAAATAAATATGATAACATTGCCATTCTCGTTGTTTCATGTCCATTTTACCATCTGTCTCCATGGCCTTTCAGCCATCTTCAACTCCTCAATAGCTGACACGTATAACCACGTGGCTATCTCCACTCGTCCACCTGGCACCCATATGTTTGCCACGTGTCGACCCTTTCCCAGTTTCCCCTTTGATCGGTGCCTTCATGGACCTAGTCGTCCAGACGCCTTTTATCGTCGCCGGAAACGGCAAACTGTAACCCAACCGCTGCCAGGGCAATAGTCTCCAAATGGGTACCCAACGTTGGCGTCTCAGGGCCCGTTTGGTACAGGAAAAATGAGACGAAAGAAAAGGAGAAAAATTTTAATAAGCTCGATTTAAAAAATTAAAAGTTTTTAATTAATTTTTTATATTATTTTTTCTTTATTTAAATTTGAAAACCCTGCTTATTCAATTTTTTAAATAGAGATCATTAAAATTTTTCTTTTCCTTCCCTTCTCTTCATTTCCCTCATACCAAACAGCACCTTAATGCTATTTTATTGTCAGTACTTAATACTACGTCCACAGTCCAGATTTTAACTAAATAATTAATGTGTAAATGTTAAAAAAATTAATTAAGTTAATTATTTGTAATAAATATGTGTTTTTTCTTAAAATATTCTTGTTAATCATGTGTGTAATAGAGTAAATTTTTTTAACATGTGCAATAATCTCGAGGACTACTTTGAGAAAAAAATAAATAGATATAGAAGACAAAATAAATTGAAATATAATATTTGGATTAAATTGAATCTCCAATTAAATTTAGGACCGGAGGTAGTATTATTTTTGGGAAAATTGTAATAAAATCCCATCCAAGAGAATTAAATAAAAAATGATATATTGAGATCCTCAAATTATTCTGAAGTCCCAAAAAACCTCATTACAAAATATTTTGTTTGTTTAATTACCAAATTATTTTTTTTAATTTTGCATTGATAATTGAAAAGTAGTCATTAACAAGTTAAGATGTAAGAATTAATAACTATCACGGTAGTTATGACTTTTTTGTATTTAATTCTCTTAGGTGCGGTCTGATTGCAATTTTCTCAGTACTTTTTTGGGGTCTGATTATTAGTATTATTGATTTCAAATTTTCACTTGTGTGGGCGGCTCATGATACGGACCCATAAGCAGGCATTTAAAAGGAAAAAGTCCTCCGCATCTTGTTCTCCATAGAAGTAACATTAGCTTCACGAGTTTTGGTTTAGCCTTTTCAAATTATTCTATGCTGTCTAAAATAAATATAGAATTTTATTTCATAAATGAAAAATAATTTTTTAGGGTCTAAGCGCCTGGGAAACTGAGATATATGAGCACTTATACTGCGTTGGGTCTTGGGTTGGCTGTCTTTTCTATTTAGAATTTTCCTTTCCAGCGTCTCTTTTCCTTTAAAAAACTACTGAAAAGTCTTTAAGGTATTTGGATATAAACTAAACTATGATTTCAAAAATGCTTTTATGATTTACGAAGTAAATATATGAAAGAATTTGTCTTGTTTTGCGGAAAAATGCTTCTTAGAAACACTTTTAAGCATTTCCAAACACCCCCTTTATTTCAAAAAAAAAAGTGCTTAAAAAAAAAACTTGAATTGAGCGATTGTAACTCATCTTCTTCAACTGATGCAACTTTTTTTTTTCCCCAACCGTAAGCTATTTTCAACTATATATAAAACAAAAAAGTATTTGTATATGATAAAGATACAAAACTATATTGCACACAATTCAATAAAAATTATACTCCCTGAAGATGAGTCACACCCAAATTCTTAAAAACAAATGTCAAGTATATTTGATTAGGTAATAAATATTTTAATGTGGAAATTTTTAGCAATTTCCCCTTTTCCTTTCCATTTTAGATTTTATTTAAAAAGATATATCAACAATTATGTATATCACATTATGAAAGACGTGCAAAAATGAAAACTCCTACTCAGAGTTTCATGTAGATAATAATATGGGAAAAAGACAGAAAAATAACAATTATGTAATGCTATTAATAACAAGTTTTTTGAGAAATTCAAAAAGTAGTATTTTTACAACTTAATAATGCCATTAACAAGTTCCATAACCTTATTAACAATTTTAGTATAGTATTTAATAACATGTTTTCTTAAAATTAAAAAAAAAAAGGCATTTTTACAACTATAGCAACTATTTTTTTTAAAAAAATTTTTTTTTACAACTTCAGTATAGCAGTTAACAACTTTTGTAATGTTATTAACAATTTCAATATAGTAGTTAACAACAAATTTTCTGAAAAATTTAAAAAGTAGCATTTTTACAATTTCAATAACGTCGTTAACAAGTTCCGTAACTCTATTAACAACTTCGGTATGGCATTTAACAACAGGTTTTCTTAAAAATTAAAAAAAATAGCATTTTTATAACTTTAACAACTGTTTTTTTTTTGAAAATTTTTACAACTTTGGTATAATAATTAACAACTTTTGTAACGCTATTAACAATTTTGATATAATAGTTAACAACAGGTTTTTCAGGAAATTTGAAAAGTAGCATTTTTACAACTTCAGTAATACCGTTAACACACTCAAACACCTGTTGTTAACCGTTATATTGAAGTTATTAAAAGCGTTACAAGAATTGTTAATTGGTATACTAAAGTTGTAAAAATTTTCAAAAAATTGTTTTCGGCCGTTGAATTTCCTGAAAAACCTATTGTTAACTGCTATACTGAAGTTATTAATAGCGTTACAAAAATTCTTAACTATTATACTAAAGTTGTAAAAATTTTCAAAAAAATTATTTCCGGTCACCGGAGCTTGTTAAACTTCCTAAAAAACCTATTAAGTTGTTAATAGTGATATAAAATTGTTAACCATTATACTGAAATTGTAAAAAATTTTAAAAAATCATTTCTGACCTGCAAAACTCCGGTGACCAATCTCGGCTAGTCACTGGAGCTTTGGTGACTAAATTGGGATTTCTCAAATTCAGCATACTTTTTTAGCATTATGAAGTTCATTTGTCATTTTTTTAAATCTTTTTTCCTAATAATATCATGTGCGCAAAAGAATATATAGAAGAATCATATATGATATATAGCTCTTAAAGCATGCCGATTCCCCTAAATGGCATCTCCACGCCTAGTCCAGTGGAACCTAAAAACAATAAAGCACGCAGCCTAAATTAAAGATAAGCATATCCTCATATTTATTCACATAAAAAAAAGCATTAATTAATTAATATTAGGCGTGATCCTCACAATTCACAAAGCCACTTAATTGATAGGTAAATTTACGATTAGTCACCCCTCCTCGCGATGAATACACTGAGCTCAACTAAAAATAATGTTGCAAGGAATGGTTAGGAAAGCTTGGTAATGGGAGGGGATGATAAATGAGTATTGAGGAAGAGTTGGGTTATATGCACACACTGGATTTAACATCGCATCTTTAACTCAAAATGTTGAAACTCTACTTTATGAATTCATCTATCTTATTTTTATGTTTTATATATATATATATATATATATATATATATATATTTTACATCACTATGCCCAAGTTTAACCGATTGGGATTTCCCACATCTACTGAAAGCCTACTAATATTTAGACATCTAGTAAAATTTATATTACTTCCGGTTCTTAATATAAGAGTTTATTTATTTTTATTTTAGTCTTAAATATAAGACTCTAATCTACTTTGTCTCTTATATTTATCTTCTTTTTTTTCAAGGTAGTTCTTATAATAATGGTAGTTTTAACTAATACACTTGATTAACAAGGATATTTTAGGAAAGACAATATATATTTATTACAAATAACTAACTTATCTAATTTTTTTTAATCTACTCAAATTAGTCAATTAACTCTTATATTAACAATCAAATGTAATATTAGATAACTACTCCCCCCATCTTAAATATAAGACCCATTTTGTTGTGCAATTTACATTACAAAATGAATAATATATTTAGAACCGGACAAGTATTTCACAACGATGTTATGGTTTATAAGAATATTCTTTTTTCATATATTCATTTTGTACAACATAAAATTACTTAAAATAAACTGATATAAACAAACACTATATGCCTTTATATATAAGGGATGATCAAGAGCCTGCTTAGAGCTCATGCTCGGTACCTTGGTACTAATGAAATTTAGTTAAAGGGTAAATCATGGATTAAAACAAAACGCATGTCGAATTTGACTGGAAACAAAGTACAAATAGAATATAAGATTAAATGCCTAACTTTTTCCCCTAAAAATGACATGTATAGTTTGGATTAGATGTACATTTTGATACATTAATATTACTTCTGATTTTTAATATAAGATATAGACAATTAATTTACGAATGTTAAGAAAATTAGTCAAGTTAATTATTTTTAATAAATGAATGTTTCCTTTCATAAAATATTTTTATTAATTATAGACATTAGAATTCACTCTTTAACATGTTTAATCGCAACAAAGAATATTTTAAGGGAAAATGAATAAATATGAGATATAAAGTGGATTAGGATCTTATATTTAAGATCAAATTGAATCCAAAGTAACTCTTATATTTAGGACCAGGATAGTATATATAATCATTAATATATATATATATAATAAAAT